TCAGTCTAATTAGTACATGGATTTAAATAATGAAGATGTTTTTATTCTTATGAAATTTCTTGGCATTCCAAAAAGCTACGGAGTAGTATATTATCTCCCCCTAATGCCGAGAAACAATCTTCATTAGGAATGCAGTCAACGCACCCAATTATATGTATTGATCCCCTATCATGGGCTTTCGGTATTTAATCAATAGACAGAGGTTTCTTTGATAGCCCTTTTAGAGGTACGCTGTGGTGGTGATATAAAATAGACTGCGCAAATAACATAACGCAGATAGGGAAATGTTACTTCTGAAACCACGTACTAGCTGAAAAGGGGGTATAGCAATCCTTGAGGGATTGATTTGTGATATGCATTGAGTTGGTAAAAAGAACTTGACTCATAGTAACGTCATAGCAATCCTTCGGGGATTGATGGGATAGGTTGACCATTTTTTGTCAAGAATTTATCGTCAAGGTTCATCCTAAAGGGTGACTCATAGAATTAAATTCCTTAATCTACCTTCTGGGCAAATAAATATAGAAAATTGAGGGCAATGAATATCATGTACCCAAATCTCATGTCAAAGAGTTTCTATAGCAGAAACTAGCACTGTAAACAAGTCATAGCCTTTAATTGTTATCACATGCAAGCTAAGGTTTAGCAACGACAGGTGCAACCTAACCATATTGAGAATTCATGCTATTGCCTCACTTATAAGTTGTGTGATGAATTTCAATAGCTATGGCCTATAGCAAATCATAAATTGCCAACAAGAGAAATAACAAAATCTCTTATATGAACATAATCAAGAGATTATATGCTAAATGTTGTCAATTAAAGAGAAGCACATGCAATATGTGATATATTTGTCCCTTATGTCTTGGACACCAAAATCTCAATTGAATCATGCACATCCATTAAATAAAGAGTATTATATTTGGTACACACAAAGCATGACATGACAAGAGATATTCTTGTTAATTCATAAATTAGAAAAATGAGAGAAGTACCGTTCGCCGAAGAATAATGAGCACATGTTTGCTGCCGGGCTCATTCGTTCCTATTTCAGGGAGTCAAAAATGGCACTTTTCCAAGCAAGCTCTCATTTTATCTCATAGTTTCATACAAGTATGAAAATATATCACAAAACAGCAAGATATACAAGCTGAAAACTGCAGAAATTTTCAAAATTTTGACTTGGATTGTTGAATTTTTTGGGAAAAAATGGTAACACATTTTAACACAAAATTTTGCAGAGATGTAGTTCAGCAAGTGTAGAACGTACATAAAAATTTCCATGTCAATCCAAGGTCTAGAAGTATTTTTTCCAAAACTTTTCCCAACATTGCTCCAGGCAGAAAAATAATTGGCAGCACACTGCCAAAACTTTACAAATTTTTCTAGAATAACCAAAGTATATTTTTAACAAAATCTTTTTACAGACATCAAATACCATGAGTCTAGGTTCTCCAGAAAAAAATTTCATGCCAAAAGGAGTTCAAGAAGTATTTTTCACGAATTTAATTTTCAAACTGCGCTGGTCAGAATTTTCAGGCAGTGATTACTATGTGAAAAAAAAATTCACAATTTATTTGCTTCAGGCAAACCAGCATGATGTGAGTCAATTTTGACTTTTGGTGAGTAGCATAGCATTAGAAATTGAAGTTGCAAACTTCATTGATGAGTCATAAGTCACCTTAAAGATCAATCCCATTTGAGGTCTTCTAGACCTTTATTAAAAACGATCCGATGACCAAGCATATTGCCAAGTAGGAAAGGCTCGGAACTCATAAAGTACATTCCTACAAAAAACTAAAATTTTGGTGTCTTTAAAAAAACAATGACATTCAAAATACTTATTATAATCTGGTCATGTACTACTACAGGAGTACCAGGTGACTATCACATATGACAATGAGACCCACACTATTTTAAATAATTTTAGTTATGTACTTCTACTAGAGTACAACGGATTCATGTACCATCCGAAAGGTACCATCCGAGAAGTAAAACCCGTCCAGAAAATTAAACATAAAGAAGTAAATTCTGAAGTGTCAAATAATTCCGAGTTACCCATGAGAATTAACTTCTCAGATCATACGTCTATTTTATACATTAATGGATCACAATAATTTATTGATCGTAGGATCATACGATCCTTCAGGGATCAACTTAGGCTCTATGAATCTTTTCGATCAAAAATTCATAACCGATAGTTTAGACTAAAAGGTGTCAAATAAAAATTAGTGCTCTAAGTGTTTACCTTCTGGGCAAAACAATATTGAAAATATGCACTTTTATTGTGTTCAAATACTCACATTTGAGATATTCAAGATTCAAGGCTTAAGATTATATATGCATTTCAATTCCCTAATCATCTTAGCCACTAGCAACTGGACTAATATCGCCAACTTGTGTAAGATTAGGGACATGTGTAACCCAAGTTGACAAGGAAGTTTTGTCATTTTGTGCCATTTCCAGACAAAATTACAAGAGTTATGCATATAGCACAATATATTTATTGAAGTATATCTCTTATAGATAGATTTGTGCATATAGAGACACACATAGAGACATGCATGCATAGAGTTAGAAAGAGAGCCAACAGTATGCAAACTAACAGGCATTTATGAGAGTTAAACATGACCCTGATCCCAGAAGCAGCTATCTCCAATCCATTATGAGTATTCATAAGACTCCATAAAGAGACAACACACTTGTGGCTCATGGACTCAATAATGATATAATTCGAATCTTATATAAAGAGCCACAATTATGGAATCCTCATTCAGAATGCTTATTCCATTCTTAGCATTGGCTACAGTTATGAAGATAGGCATCTTTCCCAAGAAATTCTTGAGATAACATAAAACCTCATGTTCAAGTCCCAACTATATACCACCTTACGTCTTCTCATTGAAGAAAACAAGTTTCAAACAAACTGAACCTTTTAATCTAACAATAAATTGAAATATAGCATATGGCAACCAGTGGTAATACTTGAGTTCAATATTATGGTACTTGCTATGATCATGCAAGACAGAAACTATGGGGCAAAAAAAATAGTCAAATATATGACAGGAGCAAAGACATAGGGATAAATATCATATTAAGTACTCAAGTTAGGAGAACTGGATAGCCTTATGAGTTGAGAAGGTGGAACCTGTGTACGGGCAAACGCAATGCATCTCAGACTGCTAGCTGCATACCTTGGATTATTTGGTCCTATTATTTCTCAACCTCTTGATTTGTTATAGCATCAGTCGCTGGTAAAGCCTCCAACGACAAAACTGGGTAGGAATGCGAGACTTCACAGATGACCGACGATCACCAGTTTGACGATGGAGATCATGATGCTGCGGCCGGACTAAGGTTCTGGAAGGTCGTGGACGGTCATCGCCCAGCTCCAGGTCTCTCACGACTGGTTGCTAGAGTTTTGGGGATGAGTGTTGATCTCCGTATTGTTGTTTGCGATCACAAGGCACCACCTACAGATCTGTTGCAACTTTGAACGGATGAGCAATCAGGAGGCAGATATACGTGAAGGTTGAATCAGCTTTTTGATCGGCGATGATCGACGATCCCAAAGGCCGACGTCGCGTCTGCGATTTTTTTTTTGAAAAAAAACCGTCGAGGCATGCGATCGATCTAGGGGGGGGGGTGTCGATCGTCTGAACGGACTGCATAGAACAGCCGTGCCATCTCGTCCATCCTCCATGATCGCCTCAATGAGGCGAGAAAGGTGATCTGATCAAATCGTCGAAACGGAGATTGCCGGCACCGGAAATTTTGGTAAAAAAACGGCCAAAAGACAAAAATGCCAAAATTCTCCCCTTTCGCCGGCCGAAGCAAACAGAAATAAGTCCGTGACGTCTGATCCTCCATACCAGCAGTCGGAGGTCAATTGTGCGCAAAAGCGAAATAGGAAAACGTTGGGGTTCACCAACTCTGATTGCGCAAGTTAGACATGATGTCTCAAACGCGATTTAGATCACGTTTCCCAGAATATCTCCCTTGTCTCTGGTTCACCATGATGTAGAGCAAAGTGTCGATAACGTGTTAAAGTAAAAAGAAGACAAGAATCGGAGAAGAAGGGAGACCAGAGAATGGAGAGAGAAAGCTCATATCTTATTCATTCTTATGGCAATATATATATATATATATATATATATATATATATATATATATATATATATATAAGGTAAGCATAAATATGTACTAAATATGAATAAGTACATCAGTTACAATATGGCTGTTACAACATGGATAATAATGTCCACAATAAGTATATTATTTATAACAGAAATTTCATTATTGGATTGTTGCAAAGTTTGGAATACTTGATTTCTCTTGTTATAACGTGGTTCTAATTTGTGAATCTGAAAGCTTTTACGCTTTAATTTGTGAAATTTTGCTCCGAAAACAGCTTATGGTCTGTAACTCTCCTTTTGGTCTTCGTTACAGAGCATGATGGACTCACAAAGCCAAAATACTTCGTTGCAGAGGCTTCAGAATGTTGAAAAGATAAAGCGTACGATTGAAGGAGCTATAGGAGTGTATATTGGATTAATTTTCACTCTGAATGTGTGGATGGTTATAATTAATTGCAGAGGATAGTTCGGCAACTAGTTTTTAACTGTCGATCTGACGCAAGTTTTCCCTTGTTGATGAGCTTCTATATGAACACTTCCATGTCTATGAAAACAGATATTTGATTTTTTTTTTAGACGGCTATGGCAGTTTGGAACGAGGCAGGTGGCTGATTTTTATTTTTTTAATATATATATATATATATATATATATATATATATATATATATATATATATATATACTAGTTATCACATGCGCGTTGCGCAATTAAACTAATGCCCAATGTATATTTTTAAATTAGTGTTCTTGAATTGGTTAAAGTAGTTATATAATAATGAGAGAAAAAATGATAAAATCTCTTATTTTAATAAAAAAACGAAATAAAGAAATTGAAAATAATTAAATTACTACAAGTAAAAACAAATAAATGACTAACTAAAGCTAACTGTCTATCATGATTAACCACTAGAATAAAACAATTGGATAAAGAGTACAAGAAAATTAAATTAATTTTTCTTTGTGCGCTTTTGTTGAGGCTCAAAATTGTCTTCATCTTCTCCATCTTGTTTACTTGTGGTAGTCAATGAGAATGATTCGTGCAATGATGTTATGGTATATGATACCATGTGTTTTGCCTTGTGTATAGGATTGAGATCTCAATTGTATTAGTAGTCTTCATCTTGTAAGTAGTTATTGATATGTTGAATTCTTAGTTGTTGACCCTGCAAGATTCATATGTAGTTAGTCATAGGTTAATTTAATGTAAAACATGAGTGCTTGTGGCTGGAAGTGGAGTAGTACCTGTTGTGCTAATTACATAACTTGTTTACTGGTTAAGAATAATAGTTGTTCAGCACATTTTCCAAACACGAATGCAACAAGGCATCCACTTCTATCAGTAATTTGTGATTAACTACTTTATAGTTTGTACAGAGAGGTTTGACAATGGCATTTGAGATGATTTACTACATGTTGGTCTGTAGAGTAAGATTATGCATTCTAATGTCATGATCAAACACTATTGATTGAACCCGAGTTTGGTGACAAATCGAAAAATCGATCACTGGAAAATAAAAGCCAAGAAAATTAAAATGAGTCCAAACAAGTTCAACAATTAGATGAGAGATCCAATATTTCCATTCTAATTCACTTATTCTTCCTGAATATGAAATACCTGCAATCCTTAAACAAGCCCATGAGTACAATAGCAGAGTTCCAGCCTGAGTTCCACATATAACTTTTCTACCATTCTAATGAGAAATAGAGTTGCATTATTAAATACGGGCAATTATTTAAACAGCCTGCTGCTCTGACATGATTGAAATGCTAAAGCCAAAAACAAATAATATAATTAGCAAAATGATACCTACCTTCATAATCACAATTCACAACAGAAAGCAGCTCATGAGCTCATCTTCAGAACACTCTGACTGAGTTTGAACCTAATAATAATAATAATAATAATAATAATAATAATAATAATAATAATAATAATAATAATAATAATAATAATCTTAATAATAAAATGCTCATGCAAATTCAGAACTAAAACTCCATTTACAAACTTTTTAAAGTCAGCAAAGATACATCATTATTCATGTTGTACACATCTTTAAATCTTTTGAAATTGATCATTACATATTTTAGAAGAAAGAGTATTGTTGTGTTGCAAACATTCTTGAGAAGTTTCTCTGAGTACTACTTCTGAAGGACCTTTATTCATTTTGAAATATCATAGAATATTTTTTAAAATTGCATAATCAAGTGATGTATAATCAAATGCATGTAAACAAGTTAGTTCTAGTGTACATAAGTTGAAGAATTGAATTCATAGTAAGACAAATTTAACTATTCAAAAGCATACCAGCATTGACGTCGTGAGTTAGTGTAGACTTGGCTACATTAATTTTCTGTTGACGCTTTTCGTTAAGATCATCTAGCATTTGTCGTTTCTTAGCAGGAACCATTGTTGCATACTGGATTCAGGATTTCAGAATCGTGAGACTCCATAACAGAGCTATTTAAAAACAATAAATTCAAACCCATGAATGAGAATACAATTATGAATTCTGATCTTTCTACATTATCAAAAATAAATGTCTACATTAAAATAAATAAATAAAGGAGTTTGCAATACAAAACGGAAAAACAATTTATTATATTAAATTATAGCTGTGAATAATAGAATATGATCAACCTTATGAATAACTCCCAACTGAATAACTCATTCTCTAACAGCAATCAAAGCTATGGTCAGAAACAAAATATATTTTTTAGAAAAAAAAGTATATATTATTAAAGTTGGTATTTGGGTAATTAGTTTTATGAAGACAAATTAAACCTTAATACCAGATCGAAACTAAGCTTCCCGGCCAAGTCCTTGGATGCTGTGAAAAAAAAAAAAAAAAGACAGAAATTTAAGGATTTAGCATTCTGTGAAGGAACAAAAACATGAAATAGTAAAGCTATTATTGTAGGATTAATAAGGGTGGCATGTGGTTTGATTTCTTAGCTTGATCCTTTGACTCTTTATACATTCATTCCTTTTATTCTGCTATTTATCAATTGATGATTGAAGTTTGAACTTAATGAATAATGGTGTCTTGCCATGAATTAAATGAAGTAACAGGATCAGAAGATCCATCCTGCTAATTGGAACAAGGTTGAACTTACGTTTTCTGTTTGTACTGTTGCAGTCATAATGTGTTGGTGATGCAGCAGCAAGCAGCTGTCATTATGCTCCACCATACCCCATTCCACCAATGACTACCCCTCATTCAATAAGTATTAGATGAGCTGATGTTGGCCTCCAACCATCAGAAGCAATAGTTTCCCAAAGTGCCTTTACATCAATGTGTTCTGGTATATGAATAATGTAAACATACCAACACCTAAGATAAGGCTCACTAAATTTACTAATGAAATGCATGAAATAAGTTCAGATTTATTAATGTTTTTGCTTATATTGGCTGTGTGAAAGAGTAACTAAAAAATAATTCAAGACACTAATAAATAAGCAAAAATGTGAAGCAGATAATGAGTGGACACAACACAAGGAGATAGAAGTAGATAATACACACATATATACATTCCCTCTCTAGATGCAAGGAATGTGTTGATAAACACAAGAATAAACATATCATATCAAAATTAGCAGAAAAGGAGATGAAATCAACATTGCTTGGGAAATTATTGAAAGAGATGCTCCCAACCAGTGTGATTAGGGCGAAATTTCAGAAGATGTTCCCTTTCACTGGCACAACACATATGGATCTCTAGATGAAAGGAATGTGTTGATCATATTCACTGAGGAATTGGATTGTACGATGGTTTTGTCACAACAAAAAAAAAAAAAAAAAACAGAGTTCAAATCGAAGGAAAATGGAGTTCTAGGAGCGACTTACCGTATGCGTCATACCATACACACGGAGACCAAATCGGCTCCCCTCCTTTCGAATTTCGCAATTTTGCTTTAGCTGTGATTTTCCTCGCTTGTGTTGCTGCCGTGAAAAGTACCAGTGCTTTACCATACGCTGAGGACAGTAGCTTGCCCTAAAGTTCGTTCTCAATTTACAAATGTGCTTCTCCTAACTGCCATTCAACTTCAGTTAAACTACAAATTTGCCACCGCAATTTCAATTGACAGAATCTGTTAAATTTAACATTCTAAACATGCTAAATCTAAGAAGAATGAGGGTATATTAGGATTTTACTTGGGCATTGTACAATTAGAAGAGCGCAAAGTACAATCATTTAGAGCATATTGGTGTACCGACATTTTTTTAGTTCCCGTTAAGGATCTAACAATATTGGCTCTTAAAGTTGTAGATATATATATATATATATATATATATATATATATATATATATATATATATATATATATATATATTATATATAGTTTTTAATAATTGAATAGGGAACCTGTTAGCAACCTGCAAAAAAAGTCAATCGAACAAATTTAGCTGGTAGATGAGTCTATTTGACACTTAATTTAGTTCGTGGTGGGAATTGAGCACTTCGCAGTAGTAGATGGGCCTATTTGACACTTTTACCTTATTATTATCATTATTATATTTAAAAAATTCAAACAGTATTCGATTCGATTCGATTTTTAACCGAATAATTCGGTTCTGTTTAGTTTTTTACCAAACCATTTGGTGTACAAGAATACATTATCGTTTGGTTGTTCGATTCGGTTCAGTATGGTTCGGTTCGGAAAAACGGAACTGAATTGCCACCCCTAAAGTTAATTACTGAAACTGTCCCTTGACTATAGAAGAATTACCAATTTGGTCCCAAGTTAACGGAAGTCTAACGACAAAACTAACGGAGGACAAAATTGGTTAAGATTTTTAAAGTTGAGGGACTTAATTGGTCAAAAAAAATATTTGATGACCAAATTGATAATTTCGCTAGAGTCAAAGGACCGTTTTGGTAATTAACTCTGAAATATACTAGTACATGAGACTATATATACTACATAAACATAAGAAACTACCCTACAAGGAAATGAAGAAATACATAACAATCATATAAATTAGAAAAATATTGAGAACACATGTATATATTAGACAGACTTATTATGATCCTATCACAATTTTCATCACTTTACTTGATCATAATATAATCCAAATTTCTCCCATACCCATATATACAACCCTTATGTTGCATGTGTTGGACTTGGAGGACCAATCCCGGGATGACATGTGCATTTTTTCATCATCATGTGCCCCTAAATCCAATAGAAGAACTAGAGGAGGGAGAAGTGCAACCTCTGTGCAAAATCTGTGCTTCTTCTTCACAGCCAGTTGCAGCAAAAGAGAGCACATCAATCATCCGTGGAAATCCTACCATACCATCATATACACAATTACAAATTGATCTTGCATTAATTGCTGCCATAACTACACTTGTCCGGCTTGCCCAAAATGATTTGATAGATCCTCATCTCTTGACCATGTTTCTAAGCAACCCACAATTGGTTGAGCAGGAGATGATATGTAGGTAGTTTTACCTGTTGAATTTGATGTTGGGATGCCATGAACCTTAGTTGTGTTTCTCTATTTCCTTCCTTGATCGGATGTTTTCATAAAAACCCTCCATTTTCTTGAGAAAAGCAAAACAAAAACAAAGAAGAATTCCTTAGTCTTTGCTTCAGAGAAACCCAAAAAACTTATGTCTCGAGTGAGCGGATTAAGGTGATATATATCTGATAACAAATAGAAGTTGTGTTTATAGTTTATAACAGCTCAGCGCCACCATATATACCATAAAACTTGAGGATCACTTTTGCTATTGGAACTTAAATTGACTAGCTTGAGAGTTGATGGTCTTGAGTCTTAGAATTTGTATAAAGATTTAGTGAGGTCAATATAGATGATTGAATTCATTAATTTTAATAAACAATAATAGTAAATATGATTGAAGAAGGTATTTCTGAAATGTATATTCATGATTTGAGAGTTACACAACGTGAGTTTATATACATACAATATAACAGAATAATAGCTAAAGGAGCTAAATAACTAGGCTGAGCTAACCTCCTAATTCTAACTGCCTAATACACCCCCCCCCCCCCCCCCTCAAGCGGAAGACGGGTACGGAACGACGCCAAGCTTGAAACGCGGATCAGTGAACCGAGAGATAGCAAGTGGTTTGGTGAAAATGTCGGCCAGTTGATCATGGGTAGACACAAAATTCACTTTAAGAGCACCAGACGCAACTTTGTCACGAACAAAGTGATAGTCCACATCCACGTGCTTGGTCCGTGCATGAAAAACCGGGTTGGAGCAGAGATAGGTCGCACCAAGATTATCACACCAAAGCACTGGAGTAGTGGGACAGTCCAAGGCAAGATCTCGAATGAGAGACTGAATCCAAACCACTTCAGCGGAGACATCTGCAAGCGCCTTGTACTCGGCCTCGGTCGAGGAGCGGGCCACAATATGCTGTTTCTTAGAGCCCCACGAAATTGAGTTGGGTCCAAGAAACACCGCATAACCGGCTGTAGACTTCCTATCCAACGAGCAACAGACCCAATCGGAGTCTGAAAAGGCATGAACCACAGGTGATAATGAACCTGCAATTCGAAGACCAAGTGAAAGCGAGTCTTTCACATACCGCAAAACATGTTTTAGCGCAGCCCAGTTGTCTTCCTTGGGATTGTGCATGAATTAACACAGCTGATTGACAGCAAATGACAAGTCCGGCCTCATGACGAGGCTAAGCTAAAGACTCGGTTGAGCTAACCTCCTAATTCTAAGTTCCTAATAAATATGTATATATTTCTAATAAAATTATGATAATTAATTACTTTTTTGAAATACTAATTAAGAGTTCGAGCTTTACAAATGTATAATAATATAATATTAATTACATCCATATATATTCATATAGTAATAGTTATTATATATTAATTACTATAATGCTATTTTTATTACATTACTATATTTTTTATAAGCATATCATATGAGAATTTTATTCAATTTGTTAAATTATCAACAATTTAGTAATTTATCAATTTATTTCTATATTTACTATATTGCTTAACTTATTTTTATATAATTTGTGTTTGTAATTCAAAATAATAACTTGATTTGTATATTTTTGTATTCTAATCAATGTTATCATATCAATTTCATATAAATTTTATAAGCATATCATATGATAATTTAATTTTGTTAAATTTTAGTAATTTATTAATTTTTTTTATTAATTTAATACGTTTTTATTTAATCTTTCTAGATGGACTAACTACAAGTCTACAACATATTGTTGTGTTTTAACATGTGAAGTACTCTTAGGGTGGTTTTTTTGTTTTTGTTTTTTTGTTTTTTTTTTTGTTTTTTATTTTTTTTGTTTTTTTTTTGGGGGTTCAATTAGTTGTTCTTTTTGAAAAAGCAATAGTTATAATTCCAATAAATGTACACAGTAATATCATTAAAGTTATTTTATTCCTCCGTTAAAGTTATTTTATCCGTCCGTTGTAAAAGCATATTTCACGGGGACCACTTGTTTATATTGTACTCTTTGGCTTTTGAAAAACAATATTTATAATTTTCATTAATATATATCATAATAATATCACACAAGTCATTTTATTCTTCCCTTGTAAAATCATATGTCATGGGGAGCACTTGTTGGTGTTGTACTACCTACCGTTTTTGTTATTATTTTTATTTTTATTTTTTGAAGTGTAATAGTTATTTCCAATAAATACATTTTTTATGAACGTATTTATGTAGTCATTGTAGTGCTTGACTTGCTTTCAATTATGATAAGATTATGCCTTTGTTACTAATAAGATTATGATAATAAATTACTTGTTTCTTAAGAGTTTGATAACAATGATTGTCAAGGTTCTAAATATTATTCTGTCAAAGCAGGCTGATCCGTCACACAACAGGCTTAAATATTTTGAATTTTTGCAAACCAGAACTACAAAACTCACAAGTTCGGGTTCAAGTAATCCTAACATATCCAATCGAGGTTGGCGGACCCCATAGGTTGGATAAATATGCTTAACTTTTAAAAAAAAAAAAAAAGAAGTAACAATTCAAATCACGATTGGTAAATAAGCATAAAATTCCTTTTAAAGAATAAAAATAAATACATTACAAGATTTCAAATTAATAACATATACTCCGTATATTTTTGTTTATACATATAAAGGGTTTGGCCCACCACCGGTTGACCCGCCCCACTGTGGGGCAAGGGCAGGTCAATATATATATAGACACGTAATATGATAAATTAATCTATATTTAAATTGTTATTATACATTCATATAAATTAAATTTATGATTTCAAGAAAAATTATTTTTACATTACAAAAGTATGTCATCAGCTAGCATACAATAAATGATAATATACTTTGAAAAACAAATCACAATTTTAATTGTTTCTAAATTGTCAATGTAATTTTATTTTTTAATTTTTGAAATCTAGTTCTCTAATTATCCTATATATATATATATATATATATATATATATATATATATATATATATATATATATATATATATATAGGGAAGGGTTCAGGTGCGGGTATAGCTTCCTGTGTGGTTAGATCTGAACGGCTCAAATCAATGAAAATTAAAAAAAAAAATGCGCGCGTGTCTGGAAGAAAGAAACATAAGTTAAAAATGGTGCACCTTAAATGATAGAAACATGCACCTTAAGTGTTTGATCTTAAGCACAAACTCATGCACATTAAGTACAAAACCCACACACATTAAGCACAACCTCACGCACATTAAGCACAAAACCCACACACTTTAAATATTAATTCACAGACTTTAAGTTTCAACAACTACTAACATTAAGCACAAACTCACGCACATTAAGTACAAAACACACGTACATTAAGTACAACCTCACGCACATTAAGCACAAACCCCATGCACTTTAAGTATTAACTCATAGACCTTAAATTTCAACAACTACTGACATTAATCACTAACCTCACACACATTAAGCACAAATCCTACGCACATTTAGCATAAACTCCACTCATATT